CCCCAGACCAACTCGAAAACACACTTCAATCTGTTTTCAATCTAGGTTCCCTGTATATAAAGAGAGAGAGATCTTGTTGCTATATACAAATTTAGTCTCCCCTTGGCTTTACAAGCCCTGGGTGATAATTTCATCTCTGCTGCTAATGAGACAGAAAACCTTGCCTATAATGGGAAGCAGTTGGACTAAAGGACCTTTAAGGTCTTTTCCAGCTCTAAAAGTTTTATGTTGCTATGAAAGTCAATAGTAATTAATAAAAGGAGTTCAGAAGGAAAAAAAGAATCAGAAACACTCTGCAAATATAAAAGTGTCACGTGTTACTATAAATAACTGAATGTGGTTCTTACCTGTGGTCTGGATTCACGAGACAAAATTAATTCCTTTCTTTTATAAACTTGGCTATGTCCTAGAAGTTTCAATGCATTTTAAAATTAAAATGGAGATTGGCTTTCCATCTAAATCCTGCCTGCTGTCCTCCCATTTCATCTCCTACTTTGCAGACTTAGTGATGATGAAAACACCAAGGACATCCTCAAAGAGAAGGTTATTTGAAGCAGCTGCCACTCAAGTCTTGCCCTTTGGGACTGTCATCTTTTCACTTTGTCTTCACCTGTGCCCCTCACAGCTCATGGAGCTAAAACTTGAGGAACCTCAGGGAACAAGCTGTATTTGAGTAGGTAAATTATAGAGGAATTATAGAACACAATCTGACAGGAGGAAAAACTGCTCAAGTGCAACCTCTCAGTTCCGTTCTACAACATCTGTTGAGTATAAGGCACTGTGCTTGGAGATGTCAGACACATAGGCACAGCTCCTATCTCCAAGAGGCCCTCAGTCCAGTGGGAAAAGAGAGATAGATTCAGAAATGTCACAGAAATGATTGGTTTAACAGATGTAGAGAAAATGTGTGCAGATGAGAAGAATAATAATAGCTGTCATTTACTGAGTACTTACCAAAAGCCATGTGTTTTACTAGCACTTTTTTATTTAATCATTTCAACAACCAGAAATGGAAGGTATTGTTATTATTATCCTCATTTGATTGTAAGGCAACAGGCTCAAAGAGGTGAAATGCTTTGCCTCGAGTGACTCATCTAATATATGGCAGAGCTTGAATTCAAATCCAGATCTTTTTGACTTCAAATCCTTCACTGTCATTTACTGTGCTTTTCTGCCTCCCCCAGGGCAGACACCCACTACTCTGACTTAGAAGTTTGCAGGATGAATTATACTGAATGTGGAAGACTGATTGAGACATGCAATAAAAATAGGAAGACATATATTCTGGATAAAAGGAATAGCCCAAACAAAACTGAAGATATGGAAAAGTCCCAGGACTTCGTGGGTGGCAGTGGGAATGCCAACTATACCTGTGCTGGGAGGAGCACAGTGTATAGCAAGGTGTGGAGGAGGGACTACAGAAAGGGTTGCATTGGAGGGATGGGAACAGACTGAGTATAACTGTGATTTCCATCTAGCAGCATACCTATGAAAGTTTCTCAACAAATCTTTGTGCAGTTCTGACATTCAGCGTAATGTGTTTTTGCAAAATTTTATACACATCACACACGCACACACGCGCGCGCACGCACACACATAAGGAGTGAGATCTGTCCCACAGAGTTGAGCTCGGCTAATTAAAAAGTTATATTGTAAAGCAGTGGTTCTCAAACTTGAACGTCAGCCAGGCACGGTGGCTCACGCCTGTAATCCCAGCACTTTGGGAGGCTGAGGTGGGCAGATCACCTGAGTTCAGGAGTTTGAGACCAGCCTGGTCAACATGGTGAAACCCCATCTCTACTAAAAATAAAAAAATTAGCCAGGCATAGTGTCTCACGTCTGTAATCCCAGCCACTCCGGGGGCTGAGGTAGGAGCATCACTTGAACCTGGGAGGCAGAGGTTGCAGTGAGCCGAGATGGCGCCATTGCACTCCAGCCTGGGTGACAGAGTGAGAATCCATCTGTAAGAAAAAAAAAATTTAAACGTCCAGAAAAATCCCCTGGAAAGCTTGTTAAAGCATAGAACACTAGACCTTAGCCCTAGAGATGCTGAATCAGTAGGTCTGGGATGCAGTCTGAGAATTAGGACTTTTAAACAGCTTCTGGGTGATGCTTATGCAGCCAGTCTGGGGGCCACACTGCATGGAACTGATGTAGAGCAGGGTGTGACTCTACTGTGAGTGCAAGGTAAGAGGTTCAGCACTTGAAAATTATAGCCATAAGCTTCCTGTAACCCATGTCACACATTTGCGCTCCTCTCTCCATCTTTGTCCCTCTAGGCTGTTCTGTTTCAAGCCCTACCCTACAGCGATAGTGGTCTTTCAAAAACATGAGTCTGATCATGTCACTGTTCTGTTTAAAAATGTTGGTGGCTCCCATTGCCTTTGTGTGGCATGTGAATCCTTTCATAGCCTTTCTTACCTCTTTAGTCCTATGCATTCTCCCATACAGAACACCTTGCACCTCCCCAAAGGAACTACATCTCCTTACCGATATCTGGAATGCTAACTTCTATGAGTCTACCTCTCATCACTTGGTTAAATTTCATGCCTCTTCCAGGTCTTATCCTCTATATCAACTCCAAGTGAAGGACTTTCAAGACCTTAAGTGATGTCCCTCAAGGACCTCTGTAAAGCACTCTTGCACAGTATAGAAATGACCTGGTGACATGGCTGAGCCCTCCCATCCATAAACTGGTATCTCCTTGAAGGCAGGCACAGAGCCTTGGCACCTAGTGTATAAAAAATTTAATAAATTATAACGTGATGTTATGTGAGATCTGGCAAAAATAAACCATTATGTCTCTTCTTCCTAGAGCAAAGGATTGTGTGCTTTCTTAGAGCCTGAGCTACCATGATAAAAACTCGCTCACAAATAGCATGAGAACATGACAACATGCCATTAGTAACCCAGAAGAAGCTGTATGTGTTTTATATTTTTTTCATCTGGGCTTTACAAACCACAAAAGCAACTGTTTTGCCTCCACAAAGGACATATTTTTAACAGCATACTTTCCCAAAAGAACACTCCTCCCTCTGTTGCATTTTGATCTATCCTGATTTAATTTAAAGTTTGAAGATGGGGCCTGACCTTATCTATCAGTGGCTGAGCCGCTGTCTCGTGGAAATGCAGTTTGAAACTCATTAATAGGGTAGCCTGTATATTATAACTTAGAAGCTCTGGGTTATCACTGATGCTTGCAATTGCTATGGAAACCGGGTTTATATGCACCTTTCAAAGAGTCTGCTTTAAAACAGGAAAAAAAAGATGAAGAAAAAGAAGGCTTCGTGAAAGAATAAGATATTTCATACCCAGCATGCATAAGCAGGTTCAGTGATGCAAAAATGCTCTGCCTACACAATGATAAAAACAATTTTTTATCTTTTTCAGGAGCTAATAATGTATAACCTTGTCTTAGAGAACTGTGTTTATACTGGTAGAGAAGAATGCTCAAGGCAGCTTTTCCCGGTGCCCACACATAGACACACAAACACAGACACACACCCACAATTTTCAGTTTTCCCCAGACTTTTTGCAATCTGCATTCTTAAATCCTCCAAAGGCCTCTGTACATGCAGCATTGGCTGCTAAAGCCCACCCAGTGTGGACTGACTGAGAGCTCAGTCTCTTCTGCTTCCCCTTGAATATGTATTGAATGTTGCATCCTGTCTCATGGGCTGAATTTTTCAATTATAAAACGATAGTGCTAATTTGATCAAGTTTCTTTTTAAAAATTATTGGATGTATTCCTCCCCAAATTTGTTTTGGAGGTTTCATCCCTCATCTCCTTGCCCACATTTCTCCCTAATAACCTAGGTGTGGTACTGTGTTAGGTAAAAAATAGTGTATCATCTTGTGGAAAATGATTCTTTAGACACACCTCCCCCCCATGTAGAACCATGTGTTATTCCCGCCAATGTTTTCATCTGCTTGTCTCCCCACTTGTGAGTCATCTATGATTTTCCCTTATCACTTCTGCAACCCCATTCCTCCCCTAACTCTAGCCAAATGTGAGCTGGTTTTCCTTCTCTTCTGAGGAAGAACAGGTCACGAGGGCTGAGCTTTCTGTCTTCACCTTCAGACAGAAGAAACTTGAAAGAAGAACGCATCTGCAGGCAGCTGTTCACTCCGCAGGCATCTGGAAACCACTTCTTTGCGTTCAAATAGTTATGTAACCCCACATGTTGGAAGTCTGAAGAGACCACAATACTCAAAATGGAAATGACACTGTTGCAACACATAGAATATCTGAGAGAAGAAAGGGTTTTTAATGTCTTGACTATCTATGATATTCCATAAAGTTAAGGGATTGGATATGCATGGGCTGGAAGGACTGAGGAACAAAGGATAGAGGTTAAGGTAGGTATGAAAAGGGACTACTAACTACTTTAGAATTTGAAAAAACTATTGATACCAAATCTGCCCACCCTCTGTACAAAAAACAAAACAGACACTGGTGCAACTTTAACCTGATAATGCATGAAAAATGGATATTTTTCATGAGAAAAACTTCAGTCATTTCCTTGTAAACACAAAGAAAATAATAGAAATTGTAAAGTTACTATAAGAAAATTCAACAATAACTCTTATAATATATTCCCTCTCAATTAAACAGCAAATCACCCTAAAGTGTTTTTCAGCCTGAGTATTTATCAGCCTAGATAATCTACTTTACCAATTATGTTCTGCATTTTTAACAAAACTTTTTCTGCAAAAGTTAGTACAACTAGAAGTGAATATAAATTAGTCCTCTTTCAAGTCTTTAACATATTAAAAAGCTATAGAATATATACATTAACCCATAGTTTTATAAAAGGAATATGGTTTTATAAAATTAAAAGCAATATCAGGATCTGTATTTGTGATAAATAATTACAACAACATCAAGCAGGCATTTCCCACTTAATCTATTACTCTCTAAGATTACCATTCAATTCTGCATTACAATTTAAGTAATTTAGCACTCGACGCATGCGCTACAGAAAACAAGAAGCAGTGTATTACAGTAACAAGGTTTGTATTTCACAAACAATTGCAAGGGTGAAGCAGATATCTTCTAAGCGTCGTATATTCACAAACAATTGCAAGGGTGAAGCCGGTATCAGAATTCTAAGGGTCGCATGATTGGGTTTGCAGTCCACCGCTTAGAGGAGCTTCCTCTGATTCTTCTGCAGCAGTCTTTTCTTCATTCGTGGCTTGTGGCCTTTCTTCGTTTTCATCGTCTTCACTTTGTAGGTCGTTCCACATTAATTGTCTAGCTAATTTGATGTTCAATTCTTCGTTGTAGTGAAGCCTTCTTCTTATTTCGAACTGCCGCTTTTTCTCCTGTTTGTGGAGGAGGAGTTTTCTCATGTAGGCCTCGTTGCTCTCTTCCTCCTCCACCTCACAGCTGTGGTCCGAGGCATCAGTGGCGGCCATGGCTTCCTTTCCTTCGACACCGCGCACTGAATCTTCTCCTTCGACATCGCGCACTGAATCTTCCCCATCATCTTGCAAATTCATGTAGGAAGTGCCGGGCTCATTTGCCTTCATTAAATCGTAATCTCTGTACGTTGCGCGGTGTGTCGCAAGGATGCTTGATTCGTCCCACTTCTGGGATTTCTTTCTCTTCACATCTTGAATATTCCCTCCAGACTGCTGACCGGAAGTCGCCACCGAGGAACCCGAGGAGCTTTTGTTTTTCAGGATCCCCTTGATGGGCCGGTGCGAGGAGGTGGAGGCTGACATCTTGCGGAGAGAAGGGCTGCGAGAGAGTTGGGCCGCTGAGCAGCCGTCCGCCGCCCTCCAGTCTGAAACTGCAGCGCCGTCTGCCGGGGCAACAGGTCCCAACGCCCTAGTTAAAGCACCAGGGCCCTGGTGTCACAAAGGGCGCTGTGTATGACGTCACGATGGTCGCCGCCTCCGCTACCGCCACCGTTACCGCTACCCGTACCGCTACCGTTGCCGTCACTGTTGCCGTTACCGCTGACGTCACCGCTACCGTTACAGCTACCGTTAAAGCTACCGTCGCTTTTGCCGTTGCTGCTGGCTTTACCGTTGACGTTACCGCCTCGTGGCCCATGCTAACGTCATTTTTTTTCCTCCCTTTTAACGGAAAATAAGGTAGGAAATACCCTTTGGTTGCACTTGGAAAGGGGAAGCATTGTTTTTAGAAACTTCTATACACCCTGACTGCCCACAGGAAAGCTATGTTAAATATTTCTCACTGTGGGTCACTGTCAAAACTTTGAAAGCCATGACTTTGGTTGGAAAGATGAGAGAGGCCTCAGCTAGAAGGTGATGACCTTCTGCTCCTACCTCCTGTGACCATCCACACTCTCCCACCACCACACATACGTTGGTCCTCCTCTCCTCTCCCTGTCTTGGTGAATGACCCCAACATAGAGCCAATTATATCAGCTGGGAATCTGCGTGTCCTCCTCAGCCCCTTCACGTTGCCCATTCTCCAATCCAGCCCTCAGATGTGACCTAAATATTTCAAGAGGCTCGTTTGATCTCTTCTTCCACCACCCTGTTTCAAATCACCATTTTCTCTTATGCAACTCCACTCACAGTCATTGAACTGGGCCCCCAATATCTCCTCCTGCTGCTGTCCAATCCCTTATCCACCCTCAAAACACCCATCAGATCTTCTTCATCTCTCTTTCAAACCCTTCAATGGCTGCCCACTGTTCTTGACATAAAGACCCAAATTCAGAAGAGGCTGAAAAACAGCTGTTATGATCTGCTCAGTTTACTCAGGCATCTATCTGGAACCTTCTCCCCTTAAATTCTTCCCACTCTACCTCCAGCTTTCTATTCTGATCTTCCAATTATGGGAGCATTCATGAACCTTCCTGTCCAAGAATTTTTTTTTCCAGGTTCTTCGTGCAGCCTGGAGCACCCTTTCAGATTTCAGTTCAATCATCATTGACTTTCAGGGGCCATTTCCTGACCCCCAACAGCAAATAGACCTCCCTTTGCTTTCATGGCGTCTCTTATTCTCTGTGACAGCATTTGGAGTCATTTGTAATTTCTTATCTGTGTACACTAGATGACAAACATCAAAAGTAAAAGGAAGTGACAAAGACTCTCTCCTTTGACCAAACTTTAATCAGGCTCCTCTAAGCCCTCTGCTCGACTAGGCCTAAACTTGGGCTTGTAGAATCCAGTTCAAACAAGAATCTTACTAAGTTAATTTAGTGAAAATTCCCCACCACTGGTATCTGACCTCCCTGAATAGCTGATCAAATTCCTCATGCCCAACACTAGATATCTTGTCACCCTGTTGGGTCAGTTTAGCAAGAATCCCCCTTAGCCCTGATGTTTCCTTTCAGTAATTTTCCATTCACTGAGTCTCTATTCTGCCTTTTACCTATTCTTGTTGGAGTGGGAGTCAATGCCAATTTTATTCCCCTACTGCAAGACTGACCCCATTGCAGTGGTCCCTGTACCTACTGTGATAGTCCTTCATGGAATAGAGTCTTTCTTACCATCTTTAACAAGTGTCATGAATAATTTTTTTAACAGTTATGTTGGCTGTGACTCAGATAAGATCAGATTCACCATTGGACCCCTGGAGCTCTCATCCTGAAGTATGCACCTTTGAAACCTTTGTCTTCACTCTTGGCTGACTGATCAGGAATCCATTGGTAAGCCCAACTCTTGAGCCAGTGTTCCAGATGGCAGTCTGTTGAAGCATGGTGAGGATACGTTTTGATTCTTGTGAATCTGAGTATACTCTCTAAAGCTGGGTTAGAGTCTGAGGCTTTTTATGAAAGGCATCTGAGTTTCCTGCACTCCAGCCTGGGTGACAGAATGAGACCTTGTCTCAAAAAAAGAAGAAGAAAAAGAAAGAGAAAGAGAAAGAGAGAAAGAAGGCACCTGTTGGGCTGGAGGTCTTTCTTCCTGGCTCTTTGTTTGGAGTGGAGTTACATATATTCTCTAATTCCTGGGCCTGGTCCTGGCTAGAAAATTCTTCCTGTCTCCTACCCTTATTTAATTACTTCCTGGCTTCCTGGCCTGGAATATTTTCCTGACTCTTTTCTTTCAAGTGAGGATCCACTCCACAACTACTGGGCTGGAAATTTTATTTTTTTCTGGCTGTTTGTGAGGCCTCTCTTTATGGAAATTGTTCAGTTGTCTGAAACTCCTCCTCTTGAACCCCTGCTGAGGCCAGCTCTGTCTACTTCCTTTCTTATTGGCATGAGTTTGCTGGGGATTATTTGGAACTCCAGTGGCCTCTTTGAGGAACTTGAGATCTCCTCAAACTGGCTCCTCTATGGTCTCTTCCTTCCCATTGCTCCTTCCTCTTAACACCTTCGATCTTCCCTTCGGCTTCCTTGAATTCTTTGTTATGTTCCCCTCAAACCCCTGCCTCCTCCACTTCTCTGTCCACCCCTGCCAGACATTTTCCTTTTCACTCCAGCTCAACTCTCTCAGTCATTTGAACTTTAATCCTCCCACTCACATCACGGCCTCTCAAGAGACTCAAAGATACCTGAAAGCCACTATCTGAGGCTGGAAAAAAAAAAAAGGCTAATTAGAAACAGACTGGATATTTTGTCTACTCAGATGGACTCTGGAATCATCTAGACATTTTCTTGATGTGCCCTCAGTCCCTGATCTCAGATTTAGTCGTCAGCCTTTATAGGATTACATATCAGGGCAAAAGAAAATCTTGGAGGTCCTTGGAGGTCTCCACAAAACTTCATAAAAAGCTTTAGCTCTTTTTCTTAAACCATTCACATTTTATTTATTCCTTTTAACATGTTCTTTCTTAAAACAATTATGTATTTTATAACTGATACTTTTATCATATTCTGTTTTTAACTTTCTTTTTTATTGTTTTTTTCTTTTAAGTTCTGGGGTACATGGGCTAGATGTGCAGATTTGTTACGTAGGTAAACATGTGCCATGGTGGTTTGCTGCACCTATCAACCCATCACCTAGGTATTAAGCCTAGCATGCATTAGCTATTTTCCCTAATCTTTAGCTCTTATTGAGTAGGTAACCTCAATTTGTCCCATTTTTGTCAGAAACACAATTCAGATAAAAATATAAGTGGAGATAAGCCAGTGAGTTTTGTATTACTGTGCTGCCTGATTCATGGCTAAATTTTTAGAATGAAAGCTATAAGGTCTCTGTTTGCATCTGTATGTTTATATATGCTTGTATGTATGCATGCGTATTACATAAATGATATTTCCCTACTTCCAGATGGTATTACCAAATTAATTTATAAAATCCCTCAAAGGAGAAGTTCTATTCAAATTGGCTTACAAGATAAATGAGACATAGAAATTAAATATTCCTAAAACTCCCAGAAATATAGGAACTAACTCAAATGCTTTTCAATTTTATATGACTTGGGTAGATCTTTGGGAAATAAGATTACTTTAATATTGTTGGTTTAATTAAAAAAGGGTATGTCCTCTGAGTTATCAGCATTAATTATAAGATGAGCATACATATTTATTCTACCTGGGTTTACCAGTGTGTTATCTCTACTAAATGCTTAAAGTTATAAAAATTATAAATTTAACCTAAGAATGAATGAAGAAGTGCAGTATCCACCACTTCATGTATATCAAGCAGAGCAGTTAAACAAAAGACCATATGTTTAACATTTTTAGGTTTTTGTTTTGTTGATGCTTGCCTAACATGCACATGCTATAAAATTAGTTAACAGAAAAATAACTTGAAATGATGTTTAGCCTTGTATGATGTTATAATTATTATAACCTAAAAACAGTTTCCAAATATTTGGTGATGTGAAACCTTAAGAGTTATCCTAAGTTAAATTAGGTAATAGATATTAATTAAATAACTAGATCATTTCTAAGCAAGATAAACTATTAAAACACTACTAAATCTAAGTTTATGTCTCTATACTTTGGGTTCTTATTTTCATATGGAACAGAGAGGCTAAAATATATTTGGACCTCTTAATAAACATGAAAAATTGTATTATAAAAAAATAGCCTAAACCTATAAGAAATGTGGGATGGTATATTCATAAAATTTGCTAATGTGCTCATACAGAATCCCGGTATGTGACAGACTTCACAATTGTCCACTTCCCAGTTTTTTTCTGTAAAAGAAAGGTGAATGATGGCTAAAAAATATTATATACACCACTGGAAATAATAAGGCTGTGGGGAAGCAACTTTGTATGCAAAATATACAAGGGTAGTAGGTTATGTTTTTAATAAAGTATATAAAATATGAAAAATCCTTTTTCATTAAGGAAAAAAGAGTCATTTTGTCCTAAAGTAAGATGAGTGATTGTTCAAAATGAGAAAGGGGAAAAGAGTAGGACTGAAGCTAAATACATATTTTTTAAAAGTTGTAGAAGTTGTGGAAAAGGAATTTTATGTGTAGTCAAGATGCTAATATTTTTATAAGGATTTTTTTTAAGCGCAATAATGTACTAATCCAAATCTATAATTTGGTTTTCGCTCTGTTAAAAGGGAAACGTTTTCTTAAATTATTGTAAAATATTTGTCTTTACCTGTTGAATAATTCATCTAGGAAGGAAAGATGCTATGTCTTATGTAGATAAATTTCCTGTGCTTCATGTTGCCTTTATCACATATTTAATTACTTTTGAAAGCAAATCTTTTCAATATTAAAAAAGCTAGGGTTATTTTTCTCGAATATGTTACTTTCTATATTTACCTCTGGAATCTTTTACTGCCATTTTGATTAAATGGATAACTAAGTATATTTCATAGAGATCTATAATCCTATTTAATCAAGTGCTCAAACCTTTTGACGTTTTTGACAAACTTCCCAAAATCAAATTCTAAATGATGTCTTTTTGACTTGGAACTAACTGACATTTACCAGAGGGCTCTCTTATTAAAGAACTTGTTCTTTCACCTTGTAAAAGAGAGATATTAAAGTAAT